AAAGATAATATTTTAATTAATTATAACTTGTGATAGTTAATTAAAAAATTATAATTTAATTATAATTAATTATAATAATTAATTAAAAAATTATAATCAAATTATAATTAATTATAATATTATCTTTAATACTTACTTATTTTATTAGATAATATTTTAACTAATTAAATTTATAAGTTTTTAATTAAAATTAAATAATATTATATAAATAAAAACTATTTATTTAAAAGAAATAAAATAAATTTAAAATAAGTAATTAAAATAATAAATCTAGAAATTATTCTATATAATAAATACTCTATTAGTTATTTTAAAATAAAAATACTAATTATTATATATATCAAAAATATTACTAATTATAAATATATAAAAATATTAATAATTATATTAAAATATATAATATATATTAAGAAAAATAATAAATTAATATCAATTAATTATTTAAAAAAATTAATATTAATTTTATTAAACTATTATTAGTAATAATTATTATATTATTATTACTATAAATTATTTTATTAAATAAGTTAAAATTAAAGTTATATTAGATATTATTACTAAAAGTATAATTTTAATTATATATAAAAATATTATTTATAAATATAAATTTCTAAAAGAATTATATTATATTAAAAAATTATATTTATTAATAATATAATTATTAAATTATTAAGTAAATATTAAGTTAAATATTATTTATTAATATTTTATTATTCTTAGATAAATAACTTAATAAAATAATTAAATAAAATAATTTGTATTATATTAATAAAATATATTTAACTGTATAAACAAGATTAAAATTTTATCTTTTAAGTATCTTATTTATTTATAGAATAATAAAATAAAATATTATATAATTTAAATTATTTTATCTAATTAATAATTATTAAGCAAGAATATTTTTAAAATTTAATTAAAATTATTAAATAATTAGTAAAAAAATAAATAATTTAAAAAATATATTATATAATTAATTAATGATAAATTTGATAAAAAAAACTTATAAATTATATATTTAAATAATAAAATCTTGAAGAATTCTTATAATAGTAATTATTTCAAGCTCTATATTAAATTTAATAAATTAGAATTAATTATTATTATATAAGTTTCATAAAATAAAACTTTTAAATAAAAAGTTTTATTATTAATTTATTCTTTATTTTTAATTTTATGATCTTAATTATATTATTTTATTTTTTCTTCTTATTTTTTAATAATTTTTTTCTTTTTTTATTATTTTTTATTATTTCTTATCAGTTTTATTCATTATTAATTTTTATTTTTATTTATTTTTAATTTCTATCTTTTAATTTATTTTTTTTAATATGATATTTATTATTTAATTAATAATTAAATTATATTTTTAATTATTTTAGATATTATAAATTATATATAATAGAATATTAATTTAGATAATATCATAATAATTAAATTATTATTATACTTAATATATTATTAATTTATTTAATATAATATTTAATATAATTTGATCTTTTTATAGTTATTTCTTATATAGTTATAAACTTTATATAATTATATTTTTTCAATAACTAACTTTTTTATTATTAAATTATTTTTTTATAAATATAATTAAATTATAATTACTATTATATTTTTTTAATAATAAGACTAATAAAAAAAATTTTTATATAATTATAATATTATTTAAATTTTAAATTAATCATAATAATTAATTATATTTAATTTATTAATTAATAGCTTATTTAATTAATTAAGTAATTATTTATCTATTAAATAAATTATTTCTTATTCTTTACTTAATTTTTTAATAATATAATTTATATATATATATAAGTTTAGTATTTTTATATTACTTTTTTAAAATTTTAATTAATAAAAACTATCTTAATAAGCTTATAATAAAGATATATCTTTTCTTATTAATAATAAAGATATTTTTTTTTGATTAATAAAAATCTAAACTTATAATAAATAATACTTTTAATTCTTAATAAATAATTTAAATAATATTTTTATATTATTATTAATATTTTCTAATTAAAATATTAATTATTGATAATAATATAAAATAACTAAATTATTAAAATTATTATTATTAAATAAATTTATTAATTTTCTTATAATAATAATAAGATTCTCTTAATTAATATTTATATTATAATAAATTAAAAGTTAATATTTTATAATTATTTTTTTTATAATTATATCTTCCTAACTTATATTTATAAAATATATAATTATATTAGTAATATTAAAAAAAATATATAAGTCAACTAAAAATAATTCTTTTTATAAGTATTATAAATAGTAAATAAGTTATAAAATATTATTTAACTTTAAAAATTAATATTAAAAGTATTAAAAAATTAATTAGTATTATTAACTTAATAAAGTATAAGCTAAAATAACTTATTATTATTATTTTATAAAGTATCTAATATTAAAACTTATTATAAATATATAAATAAAATAAATTATAATTAAAAAAATAATTATATTAAACTTATTAATAAAAAAAAGACTATTATTTTATACAAGAATTTATTATATTTAAGAAGTTTTTTATATTTTTGAATGAATGAGTTACTAGATTTAAAAAATATAATAAAATAAGAAAAATTATAATATATAATAAAATAATAAGTATATCTTTAGAAAATTTACTTATAAAATATATAAAATTACAAGAATTTCTTTTTTATTATAATCAAAAAAATATTTATAATACTAATAAAACAGATTTATTTTATTGACTACTTTCAAATCAAATAATTTTTAAAATATTATTATAATATAAACTTTTCATATATATTTTATTAATATTAATTATTATTGAATAATAATTAAGATAATATTATTAGTAAATATTTTTAAATAATTTTATAAGTATAATAATTATAATGAAATTATTATAGTAAAATTAACAAAATTATTATAATAAAATTAATAATATTATTATAATAAAACTAATATTATGATACTAATAAAAATAGTATTTAAGTTATAATAAAGTATTATTTATAGAATCTTTAAAATATATAAAAATAATATATCTTAATTAGAGAAATAATTAATAAATAAAATAATTAATTAATAAAATAATTAATAAATAATTAATAAATTAATAAATTAAATAATAATAAGATAAAATAATAATTTAAAATAATAATATTATAAATTAATAATCTTTATTAATAATATCTTATTTATTATAATATATATTTCTTATATTATAATAATTCTCTGATTAACTATCATAATTAATCATAATTTTCAAATTAACTATTATAAATTATAATCAATTAAGATAATACCTCTATTCTAAATCATATTCTAACTAATTATATTATGAATATATTCTTTTAATCTTATTATAATTATAATTTAATATCTATTATATTATATCTTTAATTATATTAATCTCTTTCATTCATAATTAATAATATTTTTATTATATCTTATTTTAGCCAATTATTATATATAAAGTTATTAATCTACTATGAAAAAATCTTTTCAAGAAATACTAAAAATAATAATAATACTAATATTTGAAAAAAATAAGTTAAAAAATGATTTAGCTAATTAATTAAATAATTTAATAGAATAAAATAAGATTAATTATTCTATCTTATATTAATTTAACTAATTCTTATAAGTTTTACTCACTTATTATTAACTTTACTAAAAAATCATAATTCTTTAATAAAATAAATATTAAAATAATTAAAAAGTATAAATAAAAAATAATATTTAGAAGAAATAATTATATTATATTAATTTTAGTTTTCATATTTAAAATAAATAAGTCTTACTTCTTATTGACAATATAACTTTTTATATAATTCTAAAAGTAAATAAAATTCAAGATAATATTGATGAATTATTACTTAATACTGATATTAATATTAAAAATAACTCTAGCAATAAAATTAAAAAATTTCAAGATTTTTAAAAAGATTTTTAGAAAAAAGAGATCTTGAAAAAGACTTAATTTGCAAATATTTTAAAATGGTAAGAGTGACTGTGTTCACAGCAATTATTTACTTTTATAACTTTTGAAAGATTATAATGACTTATTATCTTCTTATATCGCGACTTGTGTGAGAATCAGTCTGATAATTTGAATTTGCGTAATTTCCGTTGAGTTATTCACAAATTCTAATATTTTAAAAAAATTCTTTGGCTTGAGACAAGCTTGAGAATAATATAGAAAACATTCAAACAAATATGATGGAAAATAGTCAAAGCATTAGACGAGAAAAATATATTACGTAAAAAGTTCGTCCCCTTACGCGACCTCCGAAAATTCCGAAAGAAGTTATTGACAAAAATTAAAAATTAAAATTTATCGTTATATTTATTAACGTTAACGTAAAGATTAACAATAAAATAGGGTATACGATCATGTGTTTTTTATTGGGGATGGTAAAAATCAATACGGGGATGTTGCTTGTATTCCGCAAAATACGGTAAGCTCTTTATATGAAGTTTTAACTTTACAAATTTGAAGATTAAAGTTCGCAATTCGAGTCTTAATCCTGACTTTATAAAAAGAAGTTATATATATGAAAAAAAATTCTAACTTTTGAATCTAAAATATATATATATATTATATGCCTACTGCAAGTAATATTGTGCGCTGTTTTCATCTCGTAAAATATTCACAACCAGAACGCCATATTCATACAAAATAATTAATCCTCGTCATTTGATTCCTCTTTGTCATTTAATTCCTCTTCGTTATTTAATTCCTCTTCGTTATTTAATTCCTCTTCGTTCTGCTGATGTTTGACAATATTATTATTATTATTATTACTCTTCTGATTTGTCATTAATATTACTATTACTACTACTACTACTACTACTACTACTATCATCATCATCATCATCATCATCATCATTATTATTATTATTATTAGTCTGATTTGACATTTCTTCTCCGAGAAATGGTGGTGTTGTTGACGTTGCTGATGCTATGTATACAATTTGTTGTTGCTGTTGTTGTTGCTCTGCTATATTTTGTTTACTTTTAGATTCCTTTTTAGTAGATACAAAATCTGTACTTGAACATCCTCTGTTATTGTAGTCATCGTCATCATCATTAAGCAAATAGTAAAATTAAAAATTAATATCAATAGCATTATTGGTATTTTAAGAATAATAACAAATAACACACACCTGCAACCACATAAAACACACTCCACCACACGTCCCTCTTCAAGCTTTGATTTTGGGACACGACATATACATGTAGTTCCGAAATTTGTATCTTTTGGTTGAATACATCGAAGGCAACAAAGTCGTTCAAACCCAGGCTTATTATTAACAAGTGACGAGATTATTTAATTAGATAATAAGAAAATCAAATAGACTTCGCATGAACAAAATATCAAACCAACCTTTTTCCACTTTGCAATAAGATTCCCATCTGCGTATCCATGTTTCAGGCAATATTCATACACGTCTTTGGTGATTGCTTCGCGTTTATAGTACAAATCATAGATATATCGCGAGCGTTGATGGTGAAGACGAAAGATTGGCCATAAAGATTCAACACGACGTCTTCCTTCATGTGGTTCATTTTCAGCTTTTTCGTAATTTATGGTTATTGGTGTAAAAGTTTAGTCTAGAAAGTCATGCCTATTGTCGCCTTGTAAATTAAGTAACGACTGAACACACATACCATCCTTCATTTTCTGTGCAAATTCTATTAAGGTTGGCTCAATATCATCGAAACCTTCCGGTGGCTTTTTAGTTCGTGCGTGTCTGACTTTTGGCATTTTAAGATTTCAAATTTACAAGTGTAAAACTATTTGGAAAACGTATCAATATCTCAATTTACATGTAATTGGTGCAGATCAGCATGAAATTCTGATAAAACGTTAGGTGGAACAAAAAAGTGAACTATTCTCCTTGATATCGACTGTCAAAATGCCCGGAAATAACTACTCTTCAATCTCTACCAAAGATATCAATAATGTAAAAGACGTTTGCAATAACATAAATGTTAGTTTAGTTGCTTGAAATTGAACTTGATTTTCTTTTTTGGAAACAAGAGCTCGTCTGAAATTCTGGACTTAACAAGCATCGAGGCTATTGCAGAGCTCATTAAAGAAAATAAGGGTATATATTTAACTCAGACCACCAAAACACTGCATTTGATTATTTAAGTCACATTTTCGTATTTAAATATTTAATTTATATTAATAAATAATAGCAAAAAATGTGATTGTAATGGCCGGTGCAGGGATATCAACAGCTGCAGGTAAGACGAGTTCAATCACTTGAAATTCCGAAAAGAATTTATTAATTATAGTGAATTTACAATTGATGTGTATATGATTTGAAAAAAAGGTATACCCGATTTTCGCTCACCGGGAACCGGCCTATACGACAATCTTCAAAAGTTTAATCTTCCATATCCGGAAGCCATTTTTGATGTGGATTATTTTAAGGTGTGTATCAACAATTATTGATCTCGATCTATATGATTTCAAGTGCACGCTCCCTAAGTGCACAATCTGGTCCCAGCTTATAAGAGCTCTATACATTTTGTCTCTAAATGCACACTTTGCATTTTTTTAATATGGTACCAAGAGGGGTGCACTTCGACTGTATTATTATTTGACTAGGAATTTTCATACAATTTTGAAACTATTTCTTCATGTGTAGAGAAGACCCGAAGCATTTTTCGAGTTGGCCAAAGAACTTTATCCGGGCAAATTCTTTGTATGTATTTATGAATTTTTAATTTATTAATATTTTGTAATCAATCAGTTAATTGTTTTTCTCTTTTGCAGCCTACCTTAACCCATTACTTCATTAAACTCTTGCATCAACGCGGAGTTCTCCTTCGCTGCTTCACACAAAATATCGATACGTTAGAACGTCTCGCCGGTCTATCTGATGATATTTTAGTGGAAGCACACGGATCATTTGCGATGTCAAAATGTCTGAATTGTCGTGAATCAGTAGATCCCGAATGGATGAGGGAAGAAGTAATCGCCGGAACTATACCAAAGTGTCAAATTTGCAAGGGTATAGTCAAACCTTGTATCACATTTTTTGGAGAGTCTTTACCAGCAAGGTTCTTTGAACGCGTACCAGTACGTTTTTTATATCTATTAATTCCAAATTTGGGCCGTATTTTAATCAAAAATTTTTATAATTAGGATTTCAAAAAATGCGATCTTCTTATTGTACTTGGTACTTCCCTACAAGTTCAACCATTTGCGAGTTTAATAGATAGTGTGACCGAGAAAACACCAAGATTACTTATTAATCGGGAAGTTGTGGGCGTGGTAAGTGATTTATCTTTTTTATCCGATATTATCTTAGATTGAATAATAAATATCGTGATTAAATGTCATTTAGTACGGAATTTCAAATTATGGATTTGACTTTGAAGGAAAATATAATAAACATAGACGTGATGTGTTCCATGAAGGTGCATGTGATGAAGGTGTACGATTATTGGCAAAACTTTGTGGATGGGAGGTGACTAAACGAAAAAATTTTGTTTATTACGGATTTATCTTTGTATACTCTGATAGTAAAATAACGAAAATGATTCTTTTATCTTCAACAAAAAAAGAGTGAACTTGATCAATTACACGTAGAGGGCTGCGAACAATTGGCGAAAAAATATGGAATTGTTCCTCCAGCTCTTTTAGTTCCCGAGAATCTTGCTGTTTCTGAACCCTCTAAATCATCAGTTGATGAGGTGGATTCTTTGGCTGAGTTACTAGTTGTACAAGCAAACATAAGTGATGGTACTAAGAATGAAGATGAAGTTGATTCTAATGATAAACAAACAAAATTGGATGCCGACATATCAAGGGGTGAAATTATCAACTATGAAAAATCTGATTCTACTGTTGTTCAAGTGCAGGAGGCGGTCAGCGAGCAATCGAGCACAAGCGTCACTACCGCCAGTAATAATTCTAAGAATAATACCGCAATAAATGATTCAACGACGACTACTTCAAGTATTGCTTTGAGTAAAGACGTTGAGGATCCGGATGGGAAAGCAGTCTTCTAGTTTTCTTAATTATTTTATGTATGCTATTTTCTGTTGTATTACTTAAAATCTATATATAGTATGTGTATTATTTGTAATAATAATTTAGTAATTTATAACGATAATGAATATTTTATATATTAATTAATATATTAAAGGTAGATG